CTTCCGCGAAGAAATGCTTCCGCGGTGCTTCCTCGACCTTCCGCGCGCACAGGAAACCTAGTTTTCGGACCATGATTTGGTGAGTTTCTGTGCTGCACACTTATAATTGATGTACCCTGAAAAAACCTAATGAGTCTACACGAGTCAGGTATCCGACAGGTGGCAGGTGGATGGGCACAGTATGAGTGGCCGGGCCGAGGGTCACTGCACATCGGGTACAGAGGGGACTCAACGGTGCTGACCTTGTAGAATATTATGCACACATCGGACCATCCGAGCAAAAGCGTGCCCGTCGCAGACATACCTGCCTTGAAGAACAAATGTGCGCCGGCTTTGGGTGTGGGCACGCTTTAGCGCGGCAGCAGCAAAAGTGCGCTGGCCGCGACAAAGCAAGTGCCGGAACTTTCGAGCATAAATGATGAGCATGGGACTTCCGAATAGTGCAATGGTATTCCCCCTTGCGAACACCCCTAAGTGCGCAAGCTTGGAACATGCCCGGAGCATACTGTCATGAGGCTCGGGCCCTGGAAGACCAACTGGATCGATCCCAGGAGGAAGAAGTGATACTGCTGCGCTGGGAAGCATGAACCTTCTGCACAGTTCCCGTCAAGCACTGCTGGAGGAAGCATCCTGCACTTGCCGGCAGCTTGGTTCCCTGCAGGCTTGCATCCTCAGGACCAGCTGCCTCAGTTAAAAGCACAGCCGTAAACGATATTCTTCTGGTGTCTCTCCTCTTTGACACGCTCCGAGAAGCTTGCCAGTAGCTCTGGACCCAGAACTGGCGTGCCCAAATCCAACCCTGGCAAAGACATGGCTCACGCAAGACAAGTCCATTGCCACATGCTGACAAACGGGGTGATGCCCCGCACCTGGGAATAGAAGTCCTGGAGGTGACATTGGACCGACGTAGCAGCTTTGACTCTGTGCCTGGGCACAATTGGTACTTCTCGCATGCTGAGCTTGATAACTGAGGCGGTCCTCATAGCCCATGTCGCACATGGCACCTAGTCGCTCAGAGCATTCAGAGCCTAGAAGGAAAACTAAGAAGCGTCTTTTGCCCAAAACTTTGCCTCCAGGCGTAGCGGCAAGCTGTGGCCTGGCAAGGAGGTTCCCGGAACAATTGAGAAGCTGTGCATGCAGGGCCAAGCAAGGGCTGGCTGACGTGCCACGAGCATCCATGGAGAAAGCCTCTGCAGGTGGGGGCAAGAGGCGTTTTTGTTGGGCCGTATGCATCAAATACGTCAACATCAGATGGTGCCTTTTTGCGACTCCCTGTTGTGGCCTGACTGGGCCGGCATTTGCTAAGGTAGACGTACCTTCGAGCATTCGAGCAATGTTTCAAAATCTCTTTCAGTAGCCACAACACTGCCACCTCAGAGCTGCTAGCCGAACATTCAGCGAAGGGGATGGGAGGCGCACGTTTGCCCGCTCTCATTTTGTCTTGTGGCGTGCACCAAATTGTGCCTTTCCGCCAAGGAGTGGGCGTACCTGCTTACCCAAAGTATATGTCCCCATGCGACTGAGGAAGCCAACACTCTGGGGCACTTCCGTTGATGAGCATCAAAGGTGGCCGACAAGCAAACCTTGTCAAGTGACATCAGGCTCCAATGTGCCAAGATTGTCGCTTTGCGGTACCGGCCTCCGTCTCAAAGCTACGCAGGAAGTGCTCTATTTCTTGCTGTACCACGGTAAGTTCCTGCGAGCGTTGCCGTTCACAACGGTGCCCTTCGAGCTGCTCACGTACAAGTCCTGTGGCAGCTCACCTCCAGAGTTTTTTCTGCCAAAGAGGTTCTTTGACTTTTGCACTTCGACGCGTGCCTGCGCAAAAAGCAATATCTTGGGGTGACCATCGAAGGAAACTCAAGAGATCCTGCCTTTCTGCCACCGACATCTGGAGAAGGCCCAAGCTTGTGCAAAGCCTCCTGCGCCTTAGAACGTGGCGTCTCCTTGGACTGCCTCTGTGGCAAAGCCGCGTGCCTTTGCCGGGGAGGCATAGCGGACGAAGACGGTGCCTCCCAACCGCAGTGGGAAAACCAACTCAGCATGATTGCAAGAAGCACCTCGAAAGGATCCACTTGCAGGGTCCACATGCATCTCAACCTGAAAGACTTAGGGTCTCAACTTCAGCAGGACCAGCATACCCAGCACTGCCTGCCTCAGCACCTCCGGCTCCCGTGCTTACCAGAAACGCTTCCACATCCTCCTGGTGAAGGAATCGTCCATTGAAACCATCCTTCTGTCTCCCCCCTTTGCAGGACACCCTTTCAAGGCAGGTTCCAAATCTGCTGGCGGCCTTGACCCTGGAAATCAGAAGAGGTGGCTGTGGGGCCTGCGTTTTTGACATAGGACCTTTATCTCATGTTTAGCTATTTATGGTTATAGTATAGGACTGTTTAGCTGTAAATGGTTCTAGGGTTCTAGCTC